CACTTTTGTGAGCAACTTATCCATGAAGCCCAGTATAAAAGCGTAGGTGGGCCAGGTCTAGCAACTGATCCAAAATCCATCTATTCTCTACCCTTTAACAGCAATGTGCAATTAGCGTAAATTAGGCGGGATACCACTTTTAGACTCTAATTATTTAGAAGACATTTAGTATGAGAATTCTAAAATTAGAATTATAATTCTGGTTTAAATCAATGTTTATTGGTTTAAATTAATGTTTATTTATAAAAAGTAAAAAATAGTTTTGGTTTGACTCAACACAATTAGTGTTTGTTTGGATGGTTCTGGTTCAAGGTTTGATCCTTAATGTGATGTTTTAAACCAGAATCACCCCTAGTTTTAAAACCACCCCCTCCCTTAGTTTTGAGTGGTTCAAACCCCTGATTTTGGTTATAGTTCCAAAATTATGATTTGAACTTAAAATCATAAATCATGATTCTGGTTTCAAAATCAAAACTAGAATAATCCTGGTTTGAGCCCTAACACCAAACGAAACTCTATCATTTTTGCGCGCATTGTTGTGAGAAGTTAGAAGTTTTTATAGTATAGGATTAGTTAATATATACATATATATATATATAGAGTTAAAAATTTCTTACAATGTATTATAGCTTTTGTTTCCCTTTTTTCTTTTGTTCTTTTTAACTACAAAATACAAATTTTTTAAAAATTTAATAATAAAATTAAGGAAGTTGAAAATCTTTAATTATATGTAGTGTAGCTAAAAGGATTTTAAAGTAATTATATTATCTGATGTTTAGGCGTTTCTGGGTGGGTCTATTGCTTTTGGTTCAAAACTTAAAGATTATTAAGATATTTATTCAAAATATTAAATGTTGATTTTTATTGATAATTGATATAAATTAGTAAATATATCTTACTTTGTGGTCAATCTTTTTGAATCTAGTGTTCTTATCACCCATGGTTCTAAAACCACCCCCTCCCTTAGTTTTGAGTGGTTTAAACCCCTGATTCTGGTTCTAGTTCCAGAATTATGATTTGAACCTAAAATCATGAATTATAGTTCTGGTTCCAGAATCAAAACTAGAATAACCATAGTTTGAACCCTAATACTAAACGGAGCCTTATTCTATCACTTTTGCTAGCCAAAAGCCCGTGCATTGTTGTGAGAAGTTAGAAGTTTTTATAGTATATGATTAGTTAATATATATACATATATATATATATAGAGTTAAAAATTTCTTACAATGTATTATAGCTTTTGTTTCCCTTTTTTTCTTTTGTTCTTTTTAACTACAAAATACAAATTTTTTTAAAAATTAATAATAAAATTAAGGAAGTTGAAAATCTTCAATTTTATGTAGTGTAGATCAAAGGATTTTGAAGTAATTATATTATCTGGTCTTTGGGCGTTTCTAAGTGGGTATGTTATTTTTGGTTCAAAACTAAATTGATTAAAGATTGTTAAGATATGTATTCAAAATAGTAAATGTTGATTTTTATTGATAATTGATATAAATTAGTAAATATGACTTACTTTGTGGTCAATCTTTTTGAATCTGGTGTTTTTAGATATATTGTTGTGGCATATGATATTTGTGGTAGTGGTATTGAAAGATGTATATCTTCAAATATTTTGAAACAACTGTAGTTATTTATGCTCTCGTTTGGTGAAAATAAACTTGCAAGAGTTTTGTTTGTCCTTTTAACTGAGCAATGATTGGTGAAATTACAAATGGATCAGTAAAGCATTCTTTTTTTTTTTAATGTTCATCAATTGTTAATGTAAAACATGGTTTTTTGATCAATGCTTGTTGCTCTTCCAACCACTGAAGTAATTTCTAGTTTAATTTATTTAAAATTGTGTGGCTTTATTTTATTTTAGTTTATTTATATTTTATTTTATTTTTCATTCAAATTATGTATACTATTATCATTTGAGAGGCTTTAAAAATTTGACACAAAATGATATTGAAATGGATAAAATTGGACCACAAATTGACAACTTTCTTTTTTAATGTTTTTCTTTTTTAGTCTTTGTTTAGTTTTAGTCTCAAACGCGTGCTGCGCACACATGATTAGTTTAAAATTACGGTTAGCACAAATTGTTAAGAAAAAAAAGAAGTAAAAAAGACGACATAAAAGAAATAAAAATAATAAAGGAGGAAAATCTTAAGCAAAAAGAGAGGAAAAATAATTCAACTTATTTCGTTGTGTTTTAAATTAATTCTATTCAGTTTTGTTTATTTTTTTATTTAATTTAATGTTATTTGATTTTAATTTAGCGTATTTTTATTTAATTTTATTGTATTATTTATGGTATTTTTATTTAAGTAATATAAAAAATTTGACACAAAATGGTGGTAAAACAGATAAAATTGAACTCCAAATCAATTCAAAATAGTAAATAACTACAATAAATAATAAAAATCTAAAAAATAAACTAAAAATGGTTTGAAACTGTCCGATTAAAATTTTCAACGGATGTGATTCGTGTGTGAAAATCACGCGCAAGTGAAGCGCGTTTAGGGGGGAGGAGGGCAGCTTCGCAGTGGTGGCCCCGTCACTTTTTCCTTTTGCCAGTCGGGCGTCGACACGTGACAATCCTCGTCCGAAAGACGCAAAAGCCCATGCACAGGGAAGGGAAAAGAGAAGAAAAAAGGGTAAAATTGACAATTCACACTCAAAGGACACAAGACAAAAGCAGAATTTTAGGAATGTTACTATACAAGAAGCAGTAAAGTGTGAGTGTGTGAACAATGCACATTTCCTTTCATAATATAAAAAAATTGGCACAAAACGATAGTAAAATGTACAAAATCAAATTCCAAATCAATTCAAAATAGTAAATAACTATAATAAAGAATAAAAATCTAAAAGATAAACCAAAAATTATTTGAAACCGTTTGATAAAAAATTTTGACATCTGTGATTCGCGCGTAAAAAGCACGCGCAAGAGAAATGCGTTCAATGTGGGAAAGACGATAGCTTCACAATTGTGGGCCCCGTCACTTTTTCCTTCAGCCAGCCGAGTGTCGACACATGACAATCTTAGGCCTCGTTTACTTCGTGGATTTGAGTTTAGATGTGACATTTTCTGAGAGCTTTTCATTGTAGCAGAAAAAGTTAAATGTGACATTTTCTGAGAGCTTTTTACTGTAAAAACTTAAAACTGAAAACTCGAATCGGTGAAATGAACGAAGTCTTAGTCTAAAAGTTGCGGAAAGAAATGGAGAAGAAAAAAGGAGTAAAATTAACAATTCATATTCAAAAGATAAGGAACAGAAGCAAAATTTTAATAATGTTACTGTACAAAGAACAGTAAAATGTGATGTGTGAACAATACACTTTTCCTTTCCTTTAGTGTGTGTATATATAATATGAAAATAACATTTAAATTTTGCACAAAAATAATATATTTGAATGTCAATTCTTTCAAAATAATACTTGTCCAATTCACCCGTCATGGTACCATTGATGAACATAAAGAGAAAAAAAAATGTCAAATAAAAGGAATAAAAATAAAGGAGTTTACGTGTAACACATTATTGTTTTCACTTTTTTTTTTCCTTCTTGTTTTCGCAATATAATAATAATCATCATCAGCGTTATTTGCGGGTAGTGCCGGGTGGTTGTGGAAACGCGTAATCAAATTCACGTACGACAGAAAACGACGAAACAATTATGAAAATTAAGACAGTTAGAAAAATTAATAAAAATAAAAATAATTAATAATTATAATTAGGGCCTGTTGATTTTATATATTTAAATTTAAATTATTAATTTTAGAGAAAATTACATATTCTATTCTATTCTATTGAATACTTGACTTACTAAAAATATCTTTTTTAAAAAATTATGCTCCTTGACCAATTTTAGTTAAAAAGTAAAAATATATAGACTAATATTAAATGACAGAAATAAAAAGGGCTCGATTTTAAAGATATTTTTAAAAATTGTCATTGATTCTATTATAGTATTTTTATCTCATAAAAATTTTGAAAATTTTTCTAATATTACCTCAATATGGTCAATTTTTAACTTTAAATTTCTCAAAATCACATTAAAATAAAAATATATACATAATAAATAATTTTTGATATAATGACGATTGAAAGTAAAAACTTTTCCGCAATTTATTTTCTCAAGACGTACTAGAGAAATTCTAAAGAAATAAAATTATAAAATTGTTAAAAACAACAACAATTACAAAAAAAAAATCTGCCACCAAATATTCTCTCTAAGAACTTGCCCACGAACCTCCATGACTCTGTCTGACACACAAACATTATCTAATGGGGCCAAACCGAAAGGCCTAACATAACAAACAACTCTCTTTCTTTCAACAAGCGAGTGAGCAAACCCAAATTGCCAAATTAGCTGTCCTCCTCTTTATTATTATTCTTCTTCTTCAATGTCTTCAATAATGTTGTCTGTCCTTTTGACTCCCTTATCCTCTTTTCCTAGTTTGGTTTGTATCTTTGTGCCATGTTATTTGAATTTGTCAAACCAAACGTCGAGGACCATATATTTGGAATTTTTGAATATTAATTCAACAAAAAAAAGGAAAAAAAAAAAACATTTTTGGTGTCGTTGTCAATTTAGTTGTTTATTATGATGGTCTTTTTGTACACATTGTTATGCTTGTTGCCTTCTCATTTATTTTGACCACCAAGTTGAGGACCTAGTGAAAGTGATTTTTTTTTTCTTTTTCCTGAATCTTCCTTCCCTTATTTTTCTAGCCAGAGGCTGAGATTGCTTGCCTATTCTTTAATACATTCAGGTGATCTTCAAGCTTATCCCTTTCGCTTTCTCTCAAGTATTTTATTTGATTTCTTTGTTGGGTTCAACTTCTCTCTGTAGTTTTGTTATGATATAATATAAGCTTTGTCAATAATTTGCACCTTTCTTTGACAAAAATCTTAGAATTGCTATTAGTATTTCTTCTCTTCTTATTATCCAGCTTTTCCATAATTTCTTTCAAAGGTAATTAAGTCTCCATTTCTCTTGAGGTTTTAGTTATGTCCTGTCTCGAGAATATTGTGTTGCTTTTCTTGGTTTTGTCCATTTTGTGTTTGTCATGTAATGTTTCATCACAATCTGTCTCTCTTGACAAGTATCTCATAGATTGTGGATCATCTTCCAATGTATCATTAGGAAATCGTTTGTTCTTGGCTGATGATTCAGATTCAAACATCCTTAAAACTCTACAAAAAATCTTCGTAAGCACGAAATCGAGTTCAAATTTATCCACCTTTGATTCCAAATTGTACCAAACCGCACGTGTGTTTAGTGAAATCTCCCAGTACACCTTCCCAATCCGAAACCCGGGACGGCACTGGATTCGCCTCCATTTCTTCCCTTTTGTTGACGAAAATCACAACTTGAGCTCAGCCAAATTCTCAGTTTCAGCTCAAAGCTTTACCCTTCTCAAAGATTTCCAAATGAACAAAGGTTCTACAGTAAAGGAATACTCTTTGAACATAAGTTCCAACACCCTTGTTCTCACTTTCACGCCTTCCTCCGATTCCTTCGCCTTCATAAACGCGTTGGAAGTCATTCCACTGCCTGATGATCTCCTCCCCGGCGACGCGAAAACCGTCGGTTTGCACGAAGCTCGAAGGAATTTTCAGAGGCAGGCATTGGAGACGGTCATGAGGGTGAACATGGGGAACCAAGCAGTTTCGTCGCAAAACGACACGCTCGGGCGGTCTTGGGTTCCTGATGGCTCGTTTCTGATACACAACAATGAAAAATTTGTATCCAACATGAACATTGTGAAATTCAGAAAAGGATTCTCTGAGGAGATCGCTCCGAAAACTGTTTACGGCACTGCAACGAAGCTCAACACCGAAGGGAACCCGATATACGCCAATGTTTCGTGGTATTTTGATGCTAGTCCTGGTTTTGAGTATCTGGTCAGGTTTCACTTATGTGACATTGTGAATTCCTCTGCTCTAGATCTCAGTTTTAACGTGTATATCAACTCATGGTTTGTTTCTAGCTATAGTGATATTAGTAATCAAGACTCGAATGCCGTCGGAGTCCCGTACTATTTGGATGTTGTTGCGAAGGTAGATGACGGCTCTAAGCTGAAAATAAGTGTTGGTCCTAGAAGTGTGGATGATATTTATGCACCTGCCTTTCTTAATGGATTGGAGATTATGAAGTTGAGTAATTCCAAGGACAGTTTTGTCTTGGACAGTTTGTCAAGTAAGAAATCTGAGCGGAAAATTGTTGTCGCGGCGTGTTTGGCTGCTGGACTAACAGCTGTTGTTGTTGTTGTTGCGAGTCTCTTTCTGATTTGTAGAAGGAGAAGAAAATTGTCACTTGTGAATGGCACAAGTGGGAATGCTACATTTTCCGGAGCAGAAATAGCATACCGCTTCCCACTTGTGGTAATCCAGGAGGCTACTGATAATTTCAGTGAGAACTTGGTTATTGGGGTTGGTGGTTTTGGCAAGGTTTACAAGGGCGTTCTTAGGGACAACAGGGAAGTGGCTGTTAAGAGGGGAGGTCCTCAATCGACTCAAGGCCTTGTGGAGTTTCGGACTGAAATTGAAATGCTATCCCAATTCAGACACCGCCATTTAGTGTCGTTAATTGGCTACTGCTATGAGCAGAACGAGATGATCATCATTTACGAGTACATGGAGAATGGAACACTTAAGGAACATCTCTATGGCTCCTACCTTCTGAGATTGAGTTGGAGACAAAGGCTTCAGATATGCATTGGATCGGCTAGAGGACTTCACTACCTCCATACCGGCCCTGCAAAGGCCATAATTCATAGGGATGTCAAGTCTGCAAACATACTCCTAGATGAGAATTTCATGGCTAAGGTTGCGGATTTCGGGCTCTCGAAGACAGGTCCTGGGATTGATCAAACACATGTTAGTACCGCGGTAAAGGGAAGTTTTGGGTATCTTGATCCTGAATACTTGATAATGCAGCAACTGACAGCTAAATCAGATGTGTATTCCTTTGGAGTTGTGATGCTTGAAGTCCTCTGTGGGAGACCTGTTATTAATCCTTCAGTTTCAAGGGAAAAGGTGAATCTAATTGAATGGGCAATGAGATATCAGAAAAGAGGCCAACTTGAGCTGATTGTGGACCCTTGCATTGAAGGCCAAGTAAAGCCCGAATCACTCTCGAAGTTCGGGGAGATAGTCGAAAAGTGCCTAGCGGAGCGTAGCGCTCTCCGACCAACAATGGGAGATGTGTTGTGGAACTTGGAGTATGTGCTTCAACTCCAAGGTCCTGATAAAACACCTAATGACAATGTTGAGCTATCTTCTTCACATGTTAGTCAGAGGGAAGCCAGTAGTGAGTCACATATAGAAGTCAGCACAGTGAATTTAGGAGACCTTGCTGATGTTTCAATGAGCAAAGTTTTTGCTCAATTGGTGAGAGAAGAAACGGGGTAATAAGATAAGAAAATGCAAAGAGATTGTGTGTTCTTTTTCTCTTCAAAATGGTGCTAAAAAAAAAAAGGTGACAGATGAGAATTACTTAGAAGACTTAGAAGATAAAAAAGGCTTTCTCAGATTGGTGATTGTGTTATACAAGTAAGCAAAGATATTATACCAGATTTAGAGGCATTAAAATGAGAGAGAACAAAAACGAAAGTTTTAGTTACGTTTGAGTTATTAGTCTTTTGTCTTGTTATGTTGGATGTAATAGTGGCTTGAATATACCACACGTAACATAAAGGATGTTTTTCTATCATTTCTATTCTTTTTTCTTTTTTTCTTTTTCCATCTGCATTAACTCCTCTAATCAAGGTGAAGATTATAACGGTTACTTCTTATGGAAAATGCGTCTATTTAATTGTTACAAAGTTTGTAATCTTTAATGTACCATAATTTGGGGGGATTGTATACCGTTTTTTAACTATAACGAGGAAAAAGATATTTGGTCAAAATTAGCTGCATGGGTGTGTTTTATCAATCGTCTAGTAACTGGAAAGAATTCCTTCAAGAAACTAATATAACAAAGTAATTGGAAAGAGTAAATGGACTACGGTATTTCTCCATTCTATCAAATTTAAGATTAGAATTTACTTGACTTTCAAAAGATCACCGAGTGTAGTAGCTATTTGGAATATTATAAATATATATACATATACATACACACACACACACACACATATATATATATAATCATAATCTTCCTTAAACGCTCATCAAAACAAATTACATTGTCAATTTTTTGAGAATACAATAATATTTAAAAAAAAAAAAAAAAAGAAGAGAGTAACGAGGAATCTCAAAAAGATGTAGATTTTTATTATATTTTACACGATACATAAGATTTTTAAAGCAATTGATTTTTATAACTAACTTCCAATACATATTAGTTCTCACATTGTCAATTTTTTGAGAATACAATAATATTTAAAAAAAAAAAAAAAAAGAAGAGAGTAACGAGGAATCTCAAAAAGATGTAGATTTTTATTATATTTTACACGATACATAAGATTTTTAAAGCAATTGATTTTTATAACTAACTTCCAATACATATTAGTTCTCATAAAAAAAATAATAAAATAGCCGTATTAATTCTTTTTTTTTTTTTTTTTTAATGAAGGCATATTGATTGTTTTTACAAGGCTTAGAGAGGCGCATTACCCATATATGCATTTCTGGAGTACCTTATAAAATTTGGTTCCCCAACTAGTTTTATAAGTAAATATTTCGTAAAATTAAATTTAGAGTAGCAAATGGTGGTCCAATCCTTATCTTTCATTAGTTACGCTTCATTTGGTTAGAGGGAAAAAAGAGCATGAAAAGAAAACATATAAAATAAGAGACTTTCTCTAGTGTGCCTTTTTTTTTTTAAGAATATTAGTGTTTCTTACTTATCAACTGTTAGATTTATGTTAAATCTAGTCAAAAGTCAAATCAAATTAAAAAAGTAGTACAGATTTAATAGTTGATAAATAGAGAATACTGGTATTATTAAAAAAGAGAGAATACCAGAGAAATTCTCATAAAACAAATAAAATGTGAAGGAAATAAAAAAAAATGATTTTTCTTGTTTGGTATGATGGGTCATGAAAGGAAAGGAAATAGGTAATATGCTAAATTACTATTTTACTAATTCTTTAATATTAATTTAGCTTAAAAGTTAAAACATGGACAACCATTTGGTTAGAAAGATGAGATGATTATAGTAATCTTTTATATTATTTAGTAGGATGGAGGGAGAGTTTAAATGATAGATTATACTTATTTGTTAAATTACTACATTGTCTAGTTAAAGTATTTTTCGTTAGAGGGTAAAATGATGATTGATTGCTTAGATCATTTTATCAATGGAATAATCTAATTTGGTGGACCATGAGAAAGACCATATCTCTCTAATTCTCCCCTCCTTCCTCCTCTTCTTCCAACCAAACAATGAATTGTGACACTCCCCTTTCATCCCTCTCCCCCCCTCTATCCCTCCTTCCTACCAAAGAGACTCTTAGGCTTCTTTTGGTAGGAAGGATGGAGAGGAGTAAGGATAGAGAGGGTTGGAGAGATGGAGAATGTGAAAGATGAAGATGATTATAATAATCCTTTATGTTGTTTAATAGGAGAGAGAAAGAGAGAGTTGAAAGGATAGATGATAGATTTTTGTTTAATTACTATATTATCCGTATTATTTGTTAATAATTACTTTTGAAAGGATATAAAGTCATTTTTCTTTTAATTTTAGGTAGATTGGTTAGATCATTCTATTGATTGTAGGCCTTGAGAGAGAGTCTCTCATAGTCCTTCCATCTTTCTTTTCCCTCCTCTTCTCCTTACCAAACAAGAGATTATTATTTCTCTCCATCCCTCTCCCTCCCTCATACCATTAGTCATCAGTGGATGGATTTAAGTTTTCTATCCAACGTTGAAGAGATAAAAATTAGTAGGTCCCACTATAATTCTTATCAACTCTATTTCTTTTCTCTCATATCTTCCTTCTTACCAAACAACATACATTTTCCTTCAAATAATCACTCCACCCACTTCCTTTCATCTTCTTTTTTATCAATACCAAAAATAGCATAAAATCGAAAGGTTATCTCTCAGGTGCTTGCACGTGACCAACTATTTAAGGTGGGAAACCAAACCATTTCATTTCAAAAACAACTATTTTGCTTAAGATGAGAAACCAAATTAGATCCATGAAATCCCCTAGACCAAGTGATCACCTCTCTCCAAGCCAGCTCCTTACGACAAGGTTACACCCTCTTCACCAATGCGAACAACGTACGCGCGCCCACCCCCATCTCCTGACTCGACCCTATGTTGACACGCAAACACCCCCTTGTTTATCATGAACTCAGCCCCCACATCGATGCAAACACTTGGCCATGCTACTTAAACAACAAGTTCTACTTCGTGGCCCTCTAACATGTTAACGAGAACATCATATCCCTCAAATGCCCTCAACTCAGACGACGAATCTGAATCCCATCCGCCCTTGTTGATGCTCATGCTACAAATATAGGCCATCCAACGCTTATCTTCTTTGACTATTAGGGTTCCAACATTTTTTTTTTTTGGGTTAAAATCTGTGATGGGAATTATAGATCAGTACAACAATTGATTTTTTTTTTTTCATTATTTTGATTTTCATAGAATTTTTATAGGTTATTTTCTGTAATTATGATTAATTCGGTTAAGTTTTAACGAAAGTTAAAATGATCATCATTATTGCCACTTAAAATTTTAGGAAGATTTTTGTCTATAATTAGTTTGGGGACTAATTGCTCAAAGTCGAGGGAGATGCAATAAACCCCGTATAATATATATAAAAGATAAACAGTGACGATTTATTATTGTCAAAATTCTTAAAAAGAAAAGGAAAAAAAAAAAAAAGAAAAAAAAAAAAAGAAGAAAGAAGTGGAATCCGAATCCGTTGGCTTACCTCATCTCCCGCATTCCCCCTCCTATTCTCCCATCCTCCTCCCGTCAGGAACTGGAGGGAAACTTCTAGCCACAATCACCACCAAACCCTAGCAATGGAGAAAGACAAGACCAGCAGCAAACGCTCTCGCGACGAGCGCGACCACCACAAGCATCGCAGCCGCGACGGCGATGATAAGCGCTCCTCCAGGGACTCCGATCACCACCGCCACCACCACCGGTCGGATCGCAATTCCAAGCACGAACCCTCTCGTGACCACAAATCTCGCCGCTCCCATTCCCGCGAGCCGAGCCACGACCGCGATTTGAAGCGCGAGCGGTCGCACGAGCCGCTGACGAGGGCCGAGAAGGAGGACGGGAGCAGAGACAGGGCTTCGAAGCACCACAGCGAAGGGAAGCGTGAAGAACGGGAGGAGTCACCGGAAAGGAGGCAGAAGAGGAAGGAGAGGGGACGGAGTGAGGATAAGGGCGACGGCGATGGCGGCGAGAAGAGAGCTAGGGTTTCGGAGGAGGGGAAAAAGGAGAGGAGGCGGTTTGAGGGTAGGGTTGAGGAGGATGACAATGGCGGCAGTCGCCGGAGCAGTGGGAGGTTTGAAGATCGTCGGGTAAAGGAGGAAAATGACGACGACGGGGCTAGGAGTGATTCCGGCAAAGCAAATGGGAGTGGTTCGGCGGAAAATGTGAGTTTGCTCTTGCTTGTTTTTTCTTGATTTTTTTTTGCATTATATTTGTTTACCTGCAATATAGCTTATGTAGTATATAATAGCGTGGCTTCTACTTGTTACTTGTTAGTGTTTTCTGGTTTCTAGCTTTGAGAGCTACCATTTTTCTCAATTATCTGTAACAGTATTTGTTATTCATCTAGGACTAGGAGTCATTGATTGCCAACAAGGAAGAATTATTTTGTGTTCTAGACCAACGACAAAAACCAGTATGGCATGCCTGATACACACCTTAGTTGTCAGACTCGTGTTTTATTCTCAATCTCAGTTCTTTGGCGTGCTAGTTATGGTAGATGTATTAGATTTTAGATGATTGATTAGAAGAAGCAACAGGAATTAGAGGTTATTAGCACATCCCAACTGGCTTAGCACTTTGCACCCGCCAGTAACCTCATCTTCATATTAGTATTCTCATTGTTTCCGCACTTGTTTTAGACGAATTTTGTTGTATAAAGTATTTTCTACTTTCTACTCATTATAAACGTTTGAAATTACATTAGACAATTGATATGTGTGGAATCCACGAATTGAGTTATTTTTCTTTATATGTTCTGTATAACATTTTGTTGTAGAGAGGGGCAAATAATTCTCCTCTTTTTTTGATTGTTGACTTCTTTGTTTTGTTTGAATATTGATAGGGTTCTGCTCTTGAACCACTCGCTGTGGCATCAGGGAGTTTTCCTGAGACCTCTTTAGCCCCTAGTCATCCCCTTCCTACCAAGGTATCTTCAATTTCTACAACCCATGAAAATAAGGGAGTTAGTATTACCAGATCTCATGAGGTTCCTGGAAAATCTAGTACAGATGGGACATCTTCAACTGCTGGAAAAAGTGGAAGTCTGTCTCTTGATGCTTTAGCAAAAGCTAAGAAAGCTTTACAGATGCAGAAGGAACTTGCAGAAAAGTTAAAGAAAATTCCTGTTGTAAGTTGTTCTTGATTTGATGAATTTCAAAATCAATTTTTACCACTCTTTAATTTTTTTCTCTTTCACCTCTCTCTTTGTGCCTGTCTCTCCTTGTTTTTGATATATCATTTTTCTTTATAATGCGTTTCTTAGTGGGCATTAACTATTATATTTTCCATGCTGTAGCTGAACAAGGGTGCTAGCTCAAGTTCAGATGCTAGCTCAAACCTGGGACCAAAAGAGGGGCCAAAGCTGGGATCTATCTCATCTACAACTGTTGTCGCAGAGGCAGCATCGAGTTCCTCAACCTTACCCGCTGCTAGTGCAGCATCTGTGAATCCATCTGCAAGTGGCATGACTGCTCCTGCTGGCCTTGCAGGCATCCCCAGCTATGAGGCTGTAAAACGTGCGCAGGCACTAGCTGCCAAGATGGGATTCCGCCAGGACCCAGAGTTTGCTCCTCTTATAAACTTGTTTCCAGGACAAAGTACAGCAGATGAGGCTGCCCCTCAGAAGCCTACAAAAGCCCCTGTTCTTCGCTTGGATGCTCTTGGTAGGGAAATAGATGAGCATGGAAATGTAGTCAATGTGACTAAACCAAGCAACCTCAGCACCCTAAAGGTTTGTTATGTTCTTGTCTGGCAAGTTTTCCATTATCATCTTGGCCTTTTTGGATATTAGCCTAATTTTGATGTTTCAAATTTTGCAGGTTAACATCAACAAACAGAAGAAAGAAGCATTCCAGATTATTAAACCTGATCTGGATGTGGATCCGGAATCAAATCCTCATTTTGATGAAAGGATGGGTGTTAACAAAGCTAAACTGTTGAGGCCTAAGAGGATGAGTTTCCAGTTTGTAGAGGAAGGAAAATGGACTAGAGATGCTGAACATATAAAGTTGAAGGTATTTTCCGTTGCATTCAAACACCTTTGGACTGCCTCTATGAATTCTGTGTATCTGTTTTCTTATAATAGTTATTTCCCCTTATGCTTGCAGAGTAAATTTGGAGAAGCGCAAGCCAAAGAGCACAAGGCAAAGCAGGCACAGTTGGCAAAGGCAAAGGCAGCACCTGATATAAATCCGAACTTGATAGAAGTATCTGAGAGAGTCATAACCAAAGAAAAACCAAAGGAACCAATTCCTGAAGTTGAGTGGTGGTAAGTATTAAGTTGACTAACAATGTAATTCCTTGATATGCTATTATGCTTAATGGTTCTCCTTCTTAGACATTATACTTATTATCATTTGCCTTGTGTGATTTGACATTAAGAGATGGAAATTGTCGTTTCTTTGTGGGATAAATTGACAGGGTTGAATATATTGAGGTTAAAAACATTTAGCGAACTTCGGGCTCATAGTGGGAAGGGTTTTAAGTTGAGAAAATCTTAAGGTTTTCTGCTCTTAGATTGCTTCTTGTTTAGCTTGCTTTTGTTTTGTCTTCCTTTTCCTTTTCTTTCTTCTTCCTCTTTTTTTTTTTTGTTTTTTTTTTTTTTTTTTTTTTTTTTTTTTTTTTTGGGGGGGGGGGGGGCTTTTTATGTCTTTTTGTAGATCTTTTTCTTCTCTTTTAATAAATTCTTGCTTATTCCGAAAAAAAAAAAAGAAAAAAAATCTGTCTTCACTTAGAAATTTGGGATGTTATACTTAGGCTTTAGTGATAGGCTGATAGCAACTTACTTCTTCTCCAGAGTCCAGACCATCCTGATGTAAAAAGTTATAGTTAATGACTGTACAAGATATCGAAGATCTCAATTCGCAGCTCCTCATAGCTTTCACTTCCTTCCAGTAGCCATTTAAAGGCTGCTGATGTTTTACCCATCAACACCTATGATTTTTCTGAAAGCTTCCAATAATTTTTTCCCAAAGAAAATATTTAACAAATCAATTGCAGTTTGCATGGCCCCTCTTCTAAGTTTGATTTCTGATTTTTCAGGGATGTGCCCCTTTTGCATTCTGGTACTTATGGAGACATCGTTGAAGGTAATAAACCTGAAGATACAATAAAGTTGGAGAAACTTACTATCTATGTTGAGCATCCTCGTCCCATAGAGCCCCCTGCTGAGCCAGCTCCTCCACCACCTCAACCTCTCAAGCTAACCAAGAAGGAACAGAAGAAACTTCGTACACAGCGGCGTCTTGCTAGAGAAAGAGAAAGGCAGGAGATGATTAGACAAGGCCTGATAGAACCTCCAAAACCTAAAGTTAAAATGAGCAATTTAATGAAAGTTCTTGGCTCTGAAGCAACACAGGATCCGACAAGGCTTGAGAAGGAAATTCGGAGTGCGGCTGCTGAGCGTGAACAAGCTCACATTGACAGGAATACTGCACGCAAGCTCACTCCCGCTGAGCGCCGTGAGAAGAAAGAGCGGAAGCTTTTCGATGATCCAAACACACTGGAGACGATAGTTTCAGTTTACAAAATAAATGATCTATCACATTCGCAGACTCGGTTTAAAGTCGACATTTTTGCACGAGAGAACCGTTTGACTGGATGTGCTGTAATTTCCGAGGGTATTACTGTTGTGGTTGTTGAAGGTGGAAATAAATCCATTAAGAGGTATGGAAAGGTTATGCTTCGGCGCATAAACTGGGCCAATGCCGTAAAAGAAGAGGATGAGGACGAAGATGAGCGAGATGACAAACCTCCTAACGAGTGTGTGTTAGTTTGGCAGGGAAGTGTTGCCAAACCGGCCTTCAATAAATTCTCAATTCATGAATGCATTACTGAAGCTGCTGCCCGCAAAATTTATGCCGATGCTGGTGTTGCTCATTACTGGGATCTTGCCGTCAATTTTACAGATGATGAGATATAATTGGTGATGCTGCTGCTTTTGGTGAAGTACTTCCTCCATCGGACTTTTCCTTAAACTTGATCTGCTCTTCTTCGTGATTTTGGTAACTAATGAGTTCATGAGGTTGCTCGATGCAATTTATGAAATATATGGGATCGTATAATGCGTTGTTTGTAGCTTTACTTCTGTTATATCTGTAGACTTGCATGCCCATATAAACCATTTTGTTCCTGGGCGTGCGCAATATTCCATCAATTTGATGAACAATTTATGCAAATATGCAGTCGTTTGACTAATGTCTTGCTCCGCAGTGCCTGATTAGTTTTCTTTTGATGAATCCATTGGTAAAATGCTCTTTTTTTTCTTTGAAAGTATTTTCTGGAGATAATTTCATAACCCGGTACTTCCTACATTTCTTCAAGGTATTGTGTTTTTCGTGGTCCATTAAACTAAATTTTGTGTGAGTGTGACCAACTAGATAAAGAGAAACAACAGCGCGAATTTTGATGATTAAAACATGTACCAACATTATTATTTTCTTATTATTATTTTTGTTGTTTGAAAGGGAACTCTAGTGGATTGGGAACATAAACGAAACTGGAAAACTAGGGAGACAATTTCGATTGTTACATACGTAAAACCAAAACATAAAATAAATAAAAAACCACCAGAGGCCGATAGAACGTCGTTATTTAGCAAAACAGACTACTACGATCAGAACGAGAGGTCTCGGCCTTCATTAGTGACACACCATCAACCACAGCACCGACGCCAGAAAGAGCAGAACTGCAAGGGGTGAAACCATCGTAAGGGAAGAGAACCGACGCCGGGGTATTATTTTCTACAGTATGCTCTTCTTTTATATATAAATATATATATATATATATATATAAGTTCCCTGAGCTGAAAAGGAAATATATACATATATGTATATATAAATGTTGAGAAAAGTACATGTGTTATCCCACATAGAAAGTTGATGAAGATGTGAAATGGTTTATATACATAGTTCAAAACTCATTAGATTAATGTGTCTCACATGTAGAGTTTCTCTAACAATAAATGAGTTTTTAATAGTTACATTTTCATTAATTGTCATAATTTTTTTTAATCAACTTATAATTTATTAAACCGTCAAATTAATATTTTATGATTAAAATAATGATACTCATTAATAAATAAATATTAGGGTAACTAGTAAAATCACACCCATATATATACACAATTTATTTCGTTTTTTGTTCGGATGTGTTCGATCTCAAACTTACCCCTTCATTGATGCTTTACTTGGCTCGTTTGTGGCTGTATAAAGAGGTGAGTTGAGTTAAGTTGAGCCACAGGAGGAAAGAAGGGAAATTTCAAGAATGTAATAAACAAGATAGCACTATTTTATAATGAAAAACAGTGGTTATTCTTATAATAATTTTCTCACATAAATCTCACGAACCACGAAATGAATAGGCCCAAATAGCGTCTTGTAAATATTCTCTATATGAAGACCTTACTATAAGTACAAATGCTAGTTCCAAAGAAAGTTGCAAATACTTCGATGTTCGCAAATGAAGAAAAGTCATTGGAGAAGTGAATATTGAGACTAAGCAAATTGGCCTTTGACAAGGCATAAAATAAATTATTGTTTGTGATATAACCCCGATATCTAGAGTGACACACAATTCCTTTAGTTCGAACTTTCAAATAGCTTCATTAATTTTCCAAATTACGTTTGGTGCCTAGAAAACGAAAATGGTACTTAGATTCTCTACCCCGTTTTTACATTTTGTTCTCAAATAACAAAAAGGAAAAGAAAAGAAAATCCTTTGCTAGCTAATTGTTGATTTCAGATTTCGTACCATATCTCCCATCGTACACACGTCAACTTGGATTACGTCTGATCACCAGAAAAAGTCGATTAATTCCATGGATCCAATGATCAAGCGACTTGAGCAAAAAGCATATTGACCAGTCCAGTCAAAATCAACTAGAAGACGACTGTTGTGTGATTTTTATACTCGTAAGTGCACGTGCCGCAATCAAGTAATAAAGAGTGAATAAGAGTGTCGATCCCACCAGGATTGAATCACCGATAATAGAATGTAAAAGTCACCTCAAACACCAAATTTGACAAAAGAATTAACTAACTACAATTCAATGAACTAATTGGACAGAAAGGAAGCAATGTAAATGCAGCAAGAAGTAGTAAAGATAACGAGAATGCAATTATAGATCTTAATTCAATGATTAAATGGGCTAGAACTATTGATTTCACCTTAGTTGTAAGTCCGGCCTTAAAATGCTACAACATTTTTATTCCAGTTAATTGAAACTTAATTTTTGCATAAAATTCTTCCAAATTAATTATGACTTAAATTCTTCAAACCATTTCCAGCATATTCCTATGTGAATCTAGTTCTCAGTGTTGGTTCCATTTAGTTATGCAAGATGAATAATATATTCCTATGCCATTCACAAATCAACAAACTTAAACAAGCATATTAAACTTGAACTCAAATTAACATTTCCAGTATTAATCTAAGTCTTGTATCTTATAGTTGATGGCCAATCAAAAATAGAAATAAGCATTAAACATACTTAAATGAACATGAATAAAAACTCAAGCAACTTAGAAATTAACCATCATCCTTACAACCTTGGTTCCATTAACAATCCTAGATAAGAACAACTTAACTCATGACTGAATTTGCAAAAACCAAATTCTCAGTATAATTCATTGTTCAACAAAATTGTAAACCCAGAAAGAAATTAAATACAACAGAGAGATAGAAAAGAGCTCAACTGACTTGAAGCTTCAATCTTTTTCTCCTCCTTTCCCTTCTTCAAGCGAGCTTCCACTGGATGAAGAAAGCTGGAAAAATCCTTCACTGAGTATTGGTCCCATTTTCTTCTTCTCTGTTATGTACCAATTTAGCTCTCTTTTTTTCTTTTTTGTTTTCTTTCTTTTCTCTAAAAAAAATGGCATAAAGCCTTATTAATGCTTCCCCCCCTTTTTTTTTCTTTTAGTTTTCTCTAGCTCTGTGCGCTGAGCTCCCTTGGCCTCCTTCCCTCTGGCGGCTGCCAAAGGATGGGATATTAATCCCTCCGAGAACCAATGCCTAGGACAAAGCCTTAGGGCTGGTGATGTAGCTCTTCCACATAGCGAGAACTGAGTGGAAGGAGAGTATGGTGGACAGGTGGCGGCGCGGGACATGTGAAATGTTTAGGTGCACGGGAATCAGGCGAGGCACAATGTAGGTCATCGAACAAGCTGTAACCAGTTCCCAAATTTAATTCCTTTGATATCTTTGACCCATTTAAACTTTATCTTTTTAATTCGGCTCCTTTTTCTTTGTACTTTTGACCCCATGTCCTTTCAAACTTTTCACTTAAGCCCCATTGTTACACAAATGAGAACACTAATTATTTTGGAAGGAAAACTAAAATAGAAATTACTAAAACTAAAGTAAATAAACTAAAATAAATTAAAATAAATCTAAAATGAAAAGTAAATTCATTAACATTCAAAATAAAGTAAAGTAAAATAAAATAAGCTAAAAATCTCAAAAACTTGCCACTTTAAATGCACAAAAATAGTGAAATAACTCTATTTTTAATAGAGTTATCACACCCCCAAACTTACTATTTTGCTAGTCCTCGAGCAAAACAAAAATGAAAATACTTAAAAATAAAGTGTGAATTTTGTGGGTAACTTCTCAAGAATTTTTTTCTCAAAAATTGAATCAAGAACATAGCTTAGAGAAAAAGATAATTTCTAACAAAGTGTTGATTTCAAATCCAAAAGATTGTCTCTTCTCAAATTGGACTCTTTTTGTGTGTGTGTGAGTAGCCATATGTTATATCATCAATATTGTCAATTCAAATAGGATCATGCAAACATGCTCTATATAAAGGATCTCAAGTGAGAATTTCAAACCCCATAGGCTCACTTTTCAAAACTCTCTCCACTAATGTAGATCAACACATTACCTAAGATCAATAGGACTTTTTAAGTTTGTAATGTTATGCTAGGATGAAGGTAGGATATGAGATAATGTTGTGGCTCAAATTGATACGAACCCTGGCAGCAATGTGATGAAACCCGTAGCCAAATATGGGATACGATCTAAGATCTTCAAGAATTGATGGAAACCGCGACCCGTTGCTTAGCGAAGCAAGAACCTTGGTATGGTGAAGACGCCACAAATGAGTATGCAAATTCCGTTTGATAAGTCAAGGGTGAACGCCACAAGAAAAACCTTGATAAGTTCGGAATAGTTCTTCAAGAACTATAGAAGAATATCTCACAAAGTGAATAAACATCAAAACTTTTTATTAATTTTCGTTTTTCAGCCTTAAATAGCCGAGTATAAGTTGAAAAGGTTTAAAAATTGAAAAGTCATATTCTATCCTTAATGAGATAGAAGCCTAAAATAAGATAAACCTAAAAACAAGATAAACGCAAGCCTAAAGCTTATCCTAGGGCCAATCCAAATTTGACTCCAACTCCTTCCTTCTAAACGCCTAAAGATAATCTCGTAGGAGAGGAATCCGAATTTGAATCTAAATCCTTCCTTAAAAACGCCTATTATGCAATATAAATGTTTAAATTGAAACTTAAACCTAAAAAGATAGAATTATGATAAAATCAACTCTTTATCCGCAATTTGACTTGGTCTCTTGCTGGAAATTACGCCTAAGCCTCTTGGAATATGCAAGTTGGCCATGCAATGGTTTGATGGATGTTTAAGGTTGATTGTCTTTCTTCTGGATTGACTTTGATGGCTATGTTCTCATCATTCCCCCCTCTTGAAAAGGATTTGTCCTCAAATCATCACCTTCTCCTATGGGTAGTAACGTAGTACGCCGTGGTGCCATAAATCTTTCTTTTCCCATGTGTAACCACACCTAATCTCCAGGGTCAAAAAATAAGTCGTACCTTCTCATGTAGTTGTTCAAATTCCTGCAAGAGAGAAACAACAACACTAGGCAACAAAGAATCAAGTTGGTTAGTGCGTAAAGAGGTCTCCTTGTACATGGGTTCAATCATCGGCCGTTTTGAAATCAATGCTCTCTTAACCTCACTTATTTTTGCATAAAAATTTATTTGTTTCCTCTCGGGTTTTACCTCTTTGGCCGTGGGTTACCTCACTCTCATTATGCACGACCTCACTCTTCTTTTCTCTCTCTTTGTTTTGTTCACTCAGTTTTTGTAACCTCACTTGGTCCTCATATACTTGTTTTGGTGTCAACGGAACTAAGGTGATAGCCCGTTGATTGTGTGTG